TAAATCACTCTACAAAAAAGACACCTGTGCACACGTTTATTGCAGCACTATGCACAGTGGCAAAAACATGGAACCAACCATGCCCCATTGAAAATGGACTGGGTAAGAAAAAGAGAAATGTGGTAATATACATGATGGAATGCTACACAGCCACAAAGGAGAAAATTATGGACTTCACAACAACTTGGATGGACTTAGAGTCTATACTACTCAGTGATCCATCACAAAAACAAAGAACTGAATACCACATGTTCTCACTCATAAGCGAACCCTGAACATTTACCATAATCCTAGAAGAAAGGGATTGGCAGTAGCCAGAAACTGCCAGATAAGCGGGGAATGGGCACATAATAGCATTAAGGGTGCCTGACTTCAAACCAGGCAAAGTGTGGACCCAAGGGAGGCCCAAACCGTACCTGTACGATTACCACTTGTATACCTAATCCTGACTTGTACTCCACATCTTATAAATAAACAAAACAAAGTTGCTTAGAAATGAGGACTAATCAGAGTTGATGAATGAGTAAATATGTGGAATGGGAGAGGAGAAAGAATCAAGAATGGTACCCAGGTCTCAGTTGGACCCATTAAATACTGAGTATTAAGATTAAGAACACAGAATTGCTGGTTAAGAGAGAAACGATGAGCTCTATTTCACACATGCTGACTTTGAAGGACTTGCAGGCAATTCGAGAGACTAGGTCCAGAACATAATTAAATGCATGGACCTGAACCACAAAGAAAGCTCTGGTGTGAAGGCATACCTGGACCTTCAGCATTCTTATGCAATTGTAGGAATGGCTAGGTAATTAATGGAGATGTGCTGAATTAGGAAGATGGCCCAGGACGGAGCTTGGGAAAATCGACATCTGAGACAAGCAGAGGAAAGGGGCACATGAAGGAAACCAAGAAAGAAAATCGGAAAGCAGAGGAAACCAGGAGAGAGAGTCACAGAACTCAGGGGCAAAACACTCTTCTAACTATCCTAACAAAGAAGAGGAAGAGAGAGGAAGCCGCCCTGCATTAAATGCCTGCTAGGTACACAGTATCTCACATGGCATACTTCATGTAATCCTAACAGGCACACACCTCACCTCGAACAGCAGGAACCCTTCATTCGGGGAGTTTAAGCAGCCACCCAAGTGACACCGTAAGTGGCAAAACAGAATTCTAGTCCCATCCTTCAAAAGCCACATTCTTCCCACTAGAACTCATGGAGAGGACCAAAGGAAGTCTCAGAAAGCCGTGCTGATCAACCCCTCACTTATGGTGGAGCTGACCTCTGGTTTGGGAGAGACTGGCACCCTGAGCCCTGTGAATGTTACAGCATGGAGAATGGGATTTTGCAGAAATAGTTAAGGTTACAGGCTTCAAAATATGGAGATTATCTGGGTTATCTGGGTGGCCCCAATCCAATCTCTGAACTTTCTCTTGGCTGGAGGCACAGACAAGCAGCAGCAAGAGAAGTGAGAGGTTCGAAGGTGGCCAGGACTCAACCTGCCGTTGCCAGTGGATGACAGCCTCTATCAGCAGACTGGCCCTAGCCGACAGCCGCAGGAAAAGGGCTCGCTCACATCCGAGCGGTATGTAGAGGAATAAATATTGACTTCAAAGAGGAATGAGCAAGCAGAATCATCAAATGTACCTCCACAGTTCCCCCACCCTGCCTACCACATATCAAAATTTCCAGGGAGGGGGCTCCTGAGGTGTCTAAAATAATTTTTTTAAAAGTTTCCCCACAGTAGCAAAAACATGGAACCAATCATGTTGCCCATCGAAGGTAGACTAAATGAAAAATATGGTACATATGCACAATGGAATATTATGCAGCCATAAAATAGGACAAACATATGAACTTTGCAGCAACTTGGATGGAATTAGAGTTGATCATACTGAGTGATCTATCATAGAAACAAAGAACAGAGGACCACATGTTCTCACTCATAAGCAGACCTTGAACAATTATACTATAAGAAAGCGATTGGCAGTAGTGGGAAACTGCCAGGGGAGGGGGGTGGGATTGACCATTGCAGGAAACTGCTAGGGGAGGGAGGGGCACACCTCATCAACAAGGGTACCTGCATAATCGAAGTTTGTGTATCTAACCCTGAATTGTACCCCACATCTTTATAATAAAAAGAAAAAAAAAGTTTCCCAAATAATGCTGGTAGCACCTCCATTTAAACTATTAGCCAAAGATTTTCAAATTAAATTGGTGGTAATTACTGAAGCTAATTGCCTAAGAGAAAAATAGTTGGCTGGCTTAGTATCGCAAATTCAGTTACAAACGAAACTACGCATGAAAGTCACATAGACAAACAGCCACACCCTCTGATCAAGAAATATTCCAGGATACACACTGAGAGTCAAAACAGACTCATCACAATGCCCCTTGCAACACCTGCTGATCCTGAATCATTTTTTTTAAAGTACTGATTTATCAGTGTATTTACAAAGTCTGTCCAATGTATGCCGACCGGAGTAGGCTAGGTGGTGGCATCAAAAGACGTACAAAATATTTAGGAGGTACTCAATAAATATCTGTTGAAATACTTCATTAGCTAAATGAATGAAAACATAGTACAGTCTCTGCCTTCAGAAATTGGGATATAATTGAAAGATGAAATTAAAGAAAAAGTTTGAGTAAATAAATTATTAAATACTTACTAACCATACTATGTTTATCAAGTTAGGATGGTGGTATGAATTCTCAATTTACACATATTTCTACTTGAAAAGCTTGGGAAAATGTCTTAGCAATGTAAGGTGTAACTCTTAAATAGCCAATACAGTCTTTTCCCTTTGTTCTGGGCAACAGATACATGTAAAATAAATGAGCTTCTTTGAACAATTATTCCCCCCAGAGTAATACATAACATATAATTCTATCTCTAAAAAACAGAAACTGCTGGGGGGGGTGGGTGTGTGGATTGACAGTAGCGGGAAACTGCCAGGGTGGGGGTCATACCTCATCAACAAAGGTACCTGTATTTTTATAGCTAACCCTGAATTGTACTCCACATCTTTAAAACAATTTTAAAAATAAAATAAATAAAAAAGTTACAAACCCTGTTATAAATAAAGTATGAAAAGGAGCATGAATTTAAAAACCCTCCATGTAGAAATGTTCATACATTAGCTTTAACTGTAACCTTTTTTTTTAAATGCTAAACACAGTCTGGATTATGGAATCATAAGAGTGAGACAGCAGCTACAGATGAGTTATCTTGTTAAGAATTAATTGACTTTGGGAGGAAGAGGTGAGAGGATTGCCCAAGCTCAGAGGTTCGAAACCAGCCTAAGCAACATGGCGAGACCTCGTCTCTACAATAAATCAAAAAATTAGCCAGATGTGGTGGCGCATGCCTATAGTTCCAGCTATTTGGAAGGCTGAAGCAGAAGGATCGCCTGAGCCCAGTAGGTCAAGGCTGAAGTGGCTGTGAGCATGCCACTGCACTCCCGCCTGGGCAACAGAGTGAGACTCTGACTCAAAAAAAAAAAATCTCTGAACATAAGGTAACAGCTGGCAACTGATTTCAGACCCAGAATTCCAGTGTCAAATTACAAATTATACCAGGTCACCGGGGGTGGGTGGATTCACCTGGAGTTGAGCAGTGACAGTTATTTCATCTTCAAGACTCCACATATTCTACCAGTTTGACATAGGCAGGGAGGGTGGAATAGCCTGAAAGGTTATATTTCTTATTTAGATATACAGAGATAGTTAATCCTGTCACCTATACCTTAATGTCAGCGAAATACATTGCCTTCTTCCTAAGCACGTCAGCCCACTTCACAGATGACGTCATAACACGATGTATCCAGAGAAGAGACCTCGACCTGAGGGGAGTCATGGAAGCAGAGGTGGCCAGAGGTCACCTGTGAGGCAGCATGGGAAGCGGTCTTCTCTGTCAGATAAACTCTCTCACCTGAAAGCACGGCTGCTGCAGCCAAAGCATCCTGAGTACTGTGCTTCCTGCACGCACCTGGACTTGGGGGTACCTGATGGCTTCTGTTATCGCCATGTCTTGCACTTTGTGGACAACTTGTTGAATAATACTAACCTAACTCACACTTAACTGACCTTCTCATATCATGAATAGATTAATCTAAGAAGTCTAATTCAAAGATAAATTGAAAATAATTTTTAAGAAATCCGGAATCTTGATTTAGAACATTGCTTTGACTTGTAATATGTATTAGTATGTCCTATTCATCAATATAAAGCTAAGTCTCAGCTGGGCACAGTGGCTCATGCCTGTAATCCCAGTGCTTTGGGAGGCCAAGGCAGGAGGATCACTTGAGGCCAGAAAATCAAGACCAGCCTAGTCAACAAAGCGAGACCCTGTTTCTACAAAATATTTTTAAATTAAATCAACTCTCAGCTCATATAAAATAATGTTCAGCTCCAAAAAAGCTCTACAATGATTACTTTTAAAAATGCAATATTTAAAATATTTTGAAAAATGATAATAAAAATCAACATGAATACAGTGACATTGAAAATATCACACTACTCCCCATCAAAGAATTCAACGCAAATTAGATGTTCTCTGATAGTTTACATTGTGTCTTTATCTCTACTTCCAGACAAATATTATTTAAAGACTAATACTTTAACTGTTTCTTGTAAACACATTTAAGTAATTGTTAGTGCCTATTAAAGTTATTATTTATGATCATTCATAATTTATTACCTTTCTAAAATTTTAGGACAAGAGCGTAATGTTCACTAATGTAAAACACCCTTAATTTTTTAAATGTTATGTTTCTTATACCATTTTTAAGTAGCTCTCTATACTGAGTGTTTTGCAGGTAAAAAAACACTTCCTAAATCCATAAGATCTATGCAACTTACTACTGTACCAGATATTCAAACTTTAAGAGGTTAAATATCATCATCTATGAGAATTTCTACAGAATGGGTCAATTGTACCATGTTTAAATTTGCAGATTATTTTGTCCAGTTGCTCAATCAAGAGTAATACCACCCAAAGAAATCAATTCTAAATTCATGTCTTTATTTAACTGATACTATTTTTGGTAACCTGAGTAAAAATTGATCACCCAAGCACATGCAAAAGGAATATATTTATTTAAACAGTTTTGCTAAAGTCCTGACAATTATTCAATGTCCTCTAAATTACGTTTACTTTGGCAACAGCCTACAAGGTTAACTTCTAGAAATTTCAGCCGAACATAATGAAACAATTCACAATTAGACAACATAATGTTTTCCATGTTTGATGCAAAATATATCAATTAACAACCTGTTTCTATGATTTGCAAAATGTCTGTATGTTAAAATTGCTACAGCCTATAAGGCAACCAAAGACAGATGACATACCCTTTGGAAAATACAGCTGGTCACACAACGTTCTTTTCAGACAAAGGCAAACAAACATGGAAAGCAACATGTGTAGCCTGATTAGCAAATGCCATCCACGCAGGTACGACTGTCTGCAATGGCCAGAGGGTGCTCTTGACTCCGTCGCCCTCGTGACCAAAGACTCTGTAAGTTACATGGTGAGCTGTAGTCCCCCGTCCACTACCAGGACATGCCCCGTGATGTAGGGTGACTCCAAAAGAAACACAACCGCGTGTGCCACCTCAATGGCTTCTCCAAACCTCCCAAGTGGAATATGTTTCTTTAAATGTTCTTCTTTCAAGTCTTTTGTCATATCTGTGTAAACAAATCCTAAAAGAGAAATACTTGTTTAGTTGAAAAGGGTAGATAGACATCTGCTCAATTAAAAATAAATAAATTTGCTTTTGAAATTTAATTTGAAATTATTAGCCCTTCACACTCGTATGTCCCCTCTGAGGGGACATCATAAATCTACCAAACCACTCAGATATCTCCTCTCAGGGAACATAAAGCGACCGCGGTGATTATTCAGGACAAATTTATGCAGCACAAAATTTTCAAAAATGTATGTTTCCTTGAAGTCTTCATTCAAATTACATGAAAAAGGAAATAAAGAGATGAAATACACACTGAGACACAGGTTAAAAAAAAATCACCTGGTGTTACATAGAATGTGTGAAGTGCTTTCACAGTGGTGCAGACTGAACAATAAATTATATGTTATTAATGTGGTGGGAAGAAAATGAGATGGCACTGTCTGCTCAAACAGAAAACCACCAGGTGGAAGATATCCAACAAATTACTATTGTGCAACATGTATCCCTGAATCTGCAATGCATGTTGGTGACTGTTACACCACACGTTAGAAAAATAGAAGATATAACATTTTGATTTTTTTGTCACAGAAAGTTCCTCAATTTCCAAAATTCTATTATAGGCAAATACAGTTTTGATAAAATAAATGGTTCCAACTCCATACTGTTTAAAACAAAGTGATTCATTCTTCACTACTTTGTAAAAAAGGGTGGTCAGGTTGCTGGTAAGTGATCCATGAAATGTCTCCGAGTGCAAACGGTTATCAAACCTTGTTTGGAAAACAAAATTTTGTTAGTAATCAAGTAACCAAGTCTGTATTTTATTCAGTTTAGCTCAACGAACATTTATCAAACACCAAAATATCAAACCCCCAAGTATTTGACTCACTTGCTAGCAAAACAAAAGTGAGTAGATACAAACATGAATAAAACAAAATTCCACTCCTTTGGAACCTACAACTTATGAAGGAAACAGTCACCTGCACACCCAATTATGATTTAAGAAGTCTAGTGAATATCCTTATAGAGACATTTTTTTTTTTTTTAAACCTCAGAACTGATTGATTTTTTACTTAGGTGGGGACAGAAGAGAGGAAGTAGTGTTGAGGGCAGGAAGGCATCACAAAGGTGGTCATGCGAACTAATCTGGCAACACTGACAAAAATTAGTTCCATTTCCTACAGCTAAGACAGCTGACAATTAGAAAGACAGTATTTCCCATGTCCATATTTAAAAAGTCAACGGTCACATCCAATTCTGATGCAAGTATTCAGAGAAAATTCAAATTTTAGTATGGTACTGGTGCATGCCATAAAGCTTGCAGAAAATGTGTTCTAAAGAACATTAAAAAATTCTGTAGTATCAAGTACTACATGATACATCAAGCAACCAATACTAAATGATTACAGATACATGCCAGGAAGAACTGGAGACCTGCTGAAATCTTATAAGATTAATATGAGACATTTATGCAAATATATATTACTAATAAAATGCGTAACCCATGTAATCAGTATTCTCTACACCACTCAATCATTTAGGTTTTTAAAGTGAAAGCAAATATTAATCCTCATGAAACCAACAATAATTAGAAAAAATTATTTCAAGATAATGAAAAATAGACGAACTAAAAGTTCAATATGACACAGAAAGTGAAAGTTTAATGTAAACTCTTAAAATATAGTTTTCAAATAAAGAAAAATACATAGTTTTCAAATTGTGGTATGTTGAAACTAAATCACTTATAACTCAAAACTATAAATCAACCTAAATATGCTGCCATTTAAACTACTATAACATGAGAACTGAACACTGGATTAATATTAACTAGGCCACTGGTTCAACTATGCAACACTATGTAATTATTTAACTTTTCTTTGCCTTAGATGTTCAGTTATAAATATATAAACATTTTTTTTAAAGTCTTGTGAAAAATAATCACAGATTTTTCCATCATGAAGCCCATGAGTGATAGTTTTATTAGGGAATAACTGGAAACCATCTGAATGCCTTTTAATAGAAAAGTGGTTAAATAAGTTATGATACATTCACATAACAGAATAATATGCAGGTATTAAAATGATACTATAGAAGGCTATTAATAAATTTCAAAAAAGCATCTGTATATGAAAAAGAAAATTACAAATGAATTCAGTTATACCACTATTAAAAACAAAACAAAAAATATATATACCAATCATTAAAAAACACACACTATATACCAAAATATTAACAGTATCATTAGAAACTTGAATTACATGATGATTTTTATTTTCTTCTTCAGGCTTTTCTGCTCTTCCCAAGCTGACTACAACAGACATAAATTATTTTTGCCTTCAGACGAGAAGTTACACACAGTACTACCTTCGGATGGTCTGTAATGAGGGCCTAGAATAGCAAAACTAATTTTGTATTATTTGTGTGCTTCACTGTGAGATCACACTGTGAAATACAATCTCCTCTGCCATAAGATCTCACCGCATTTATTTTAAAAATCAGCACTATTTCCTTTCATCTTTAAGAACAATGAGATGACCGGGAGGAAGGAGAGAAGAAAAGGAGAGGATTCCTTCTGCTGCCGAGCTTAAGTGAACTGTGAATGAAACTTAACCTATAACAAAGAGCCATGAAAATCAAAAAGCAATCCAGTCATCTCAAGAACACTATCACGAAGGTTCTTTTTTTTTTTTTTTTTTTTTTTTGAGTTGGAGTCTCACTCCGTCACCCAGACCGGAGTGCAGTGGCCGCTCCCGGCCACCGCAGCCTCGACCCGCTGGGCTCCCGCGATCCTTCTGCCTCAACTTTCCGAGTAGCTGGAACTACAGGCGTGCGCTACCACACCCGGCTGATTTTTGATTTATTGTAGAGATGAGGTCTCACTGCCCAAGCGGGTCTCGAGCCCGCGGGCTCAGGCAATCCACTCACCTCAGCCTCCCAAAGGCACGGGATTACAGGCTGAGCCACCGAGCCCGGCTCTGGACACACTTTTCAAAAGATATCCTAGGAAAAAAACTCAGCTCACACTTGTTACAAAAGTTGTATGAATTACAATTGTGAATGTAACTTTTAAAAGTTTATGTCATCTTCTCCAACAGTTCATGACACAAGTAATCTTTAAGGTCTTTTGGAATCTAGCAAAATTAGCAAAGAATACTTCCCATTAAATTTGACAGACTCTCAGTATAAAAATCAATGATGCATCTTAGTCTAAAAAAGAAAACCAAAACACACACACACAAAACTAAAAGAAAAACGTTTGCTACAAAGACCTTGCATTATGGGTTAGCAAATTCCAGGTCGAAATTCTTACTGGCTCTAGTGGTGTTTTCTCAAAGGCAGCATTTTGTGATTTAATGGGCCCTAACCACTGGATTGGGGCCCATTATATTAGACTTTGTTCCCTGCTTCGCTAACACTATTAGAGTTATGAGCTGAGAAAAACCAGCTCGTGACTATTTCTGTGTCACCAAACAAATGAAACAGATTGAAACAACAGACCTCTGAGGTTTCTTGTGACCCCACCACACTCTGATTTGAAGACGAGCAGCATGCCCCAGGAAGCAGGCTTCACGGCTCCCTCACTGAGGAACGCAAGCGCCCCTTGTGGACCCTCAGTTCCTACACTTGGAGGTCTGCAGGGGTCAGAATAGTTCCAACGTATACATTTCATAGCTTGAAGAAATCAGGTGACAGCAATTTGGCAGAATTTTAAGGGCTCTTCTTTAGGCAAATAGATAGGCTGTACAGTCCTGGATTTTGACAAATGCACAATGTCATGTGTTCACCGCCAGAGTAGAATGCAGAATAGTTTGACTGCCCTAATCATCCGTCTGCAGCTTTTATAAATTCATATATATGTCCCTAGTTTATTAGTAGTTAAATTTTAAAAAGGTGAATCTAATCTCTAATGACAGATTCCCCTGGGCACTACTGAATTCCAACATCATCTATGCTAACAGCCATGAGCCAGAGGATCCTTCCTTACCGACATGCTCCCAACCCAGACACTCTGTCTGGCAGTCTTCTGGGCTCCGTCCCATGTACCATAGACTGAACATCTCACACACTCTGCCTGCATGCACAGCTCTCCAGCGTGTGCTCTCTCTTGGGCCCCAAAGAACTCTCTCTAGATCATGCTTTATCTGTAAAGTTCTGGGACTTTTGCTTGGCTCCTCTTTTTGGTAGGTATGTACATATTTACAATGCCTTTCAAAGCGAGCTATAAAAATAACAAACTACCAGTAGGTGCCACTGTCCAACAAAGGATGTTTTGTACATTTGCTGGACAGTTAGAGGTTCCAACTGGCAACCGAGTTACCACTCCATAAATCAACAAACAGATAAGTACCATGTCCTCAGTCAACCTAGAACTAAGGTACTTCTATGCTAGTTCCGTATACAGGAAAACACCTGGTACACTTTTTTTAATAGGAACTCTTTAGGAACAGGGACACTCTTGCTTATAAAAGCAAGTGCATGGCTCTTGTCCAATGAGAATTTATATTTGATAAACCCTACAGAAAAATATATTTCCTTTATCCATTTAAGACCAGCTATATAGTACAAATAGCAACACTTAATTTCCATAATACTAGGTCATCAGTTTTCAACATTCTTATCTACAGCAGAAACTTTGTATTTAAATAGGACAGGCGAATTTTAGCCTATCACCAGAACTAACACTGTGGATGCCGCACCATGTGACATATCTCCCAACTCAGAAGTCCATTCTCTGGTGTAAGTCTCTAGGACCTAACAAGAACAAAAATAAGGGTGAGGAAACTAGATCAAGAGTCTAACCAGAACAAATGTGGATGTCTTCATGTTTGTGGAGTGCAGCAATGTGAGAAAAGCACTCCCTGCCGAACAGCACACAAGAGCACCTGGAATAGTACCTGCTCTGAGCAGCAGCTAAGCTCATGCAAACATCTGTCAACAAGATTTTCTCCACACAGTAAACAAAAAAGCTCTTCCACTTAAAAAAAAAGGAAAAAAATACCAAAGATACCCTACAGAAAAAATGCGATGATTTTGCTGTTTGTCAAAAGTAATAATGTATATATCCTTGGAGCCTCAACAGTTCCAGCCTCAAGGCTGCACTCACATACTTAAGAAATGTGCACAACAAACTACGTGCAAGTCACTGCATCACTGACTGCAACAGAAAAAGATCAGAAACAACCCAAATGCCCATCAGAGGCAACAGGTTAAATAAATTAGGTATACCCTTAAAACAGACATCATTTTCTGTTTTAGTTCAGCCATTAAAAGTAATATAGCAGTCTCAAAATATCAAATATTGTATGATTCCATTTATCCGAAATGTTCAGAATACACTAATGTGTAAATCTGCAGAGACAAAAAGTAGTTTCATGGTTACCAAAAGCTGGGGAGACTGAAGAGAAACAGGAATGAATGCTAAGGGGTCTAGGTTTCTTTGGGGATGATGAAAACAGTGAAAACGGAACAGTTCTGTGACTACACCAAAACCCCTGAAGTGCACACCTTAGATGGGTGAATTACATGGTATATAAATTACATTTCCATAAAGCTATTATTTTTTAAGGTGAAGCAGCTCTGTTTGGAATAATAATAATAAGGAAATATCACCAGAGTATACTGTTTCACGAACAAAGTAAGATACAGGACATTGTGAATAGTAAGATACAATTTGTGCTTCCTTAAACACGCGCACACACTTTACGGGCTTATACATGAAATACAGAAGAAACTATGCAGATAACAGTAGTTACGGGTTTGAGACCCGCCTGGGCAGCGAGACCTCATCTCTACAATAAATCAAAAAATCAGCCGGGCGTGGCAGTACATGCCTGTAATTCCGCCTACTTGGAAAGTGCGGCAGAAGGATCACTGGAGCCCAGCAGGTCGAGGCTGCGGTGGCCAGGAGCGGCCACTGCTCTCCAGTCTGGGCGACAGAGTGAGACTCCAACTCAAAAAAAAAAAAAAAGAAAAGAAAAGTAACAACATCTGGAAGAGAAGCTCCACTTTTCACCCGTACCTTTCTGTATTTTTAAATTCTGTACAATAGTATGTCCAATAGTATGTATTATCTAGTCAAAACACATACATATTTTTAAAATTAATGTACCACTATAGGTTAAACCTATCAAATATGCTGTTTCTAATATTCAGTATTTACCAATCAGTAAGATTTATCCATGATGAGAAGTTTATTTTATATTTAAAGTAATATCAAAGATTAGCAATTACTAATCTTCAAAAACAGTCAGCAACATTAGGCAGTGAATGATGGCTTAATTTATTATTTTCCTTGTTCCTTGCTTTTCTTATTATCTGCTTTTTAACCATTTTCCTGCTAATTGGAAATTTCATTTAAAAGTGACCAGGAAAACTGACATAAAAAGAAACATGTTTGCTGACTCCGATGTTTGCTAGCTCTGTTACAAGATCTGGTGAAGAAGCCGACTGAAATTACTACCTAAAATAAAGTTAGCAAATGATCCATAGAGCTGATTTCATTCTACTCTCTCAGCTCACACTGTGCTTCTGACCAAAAAGCACATTCACACTATGAAACCTCCTAGATATACGTGACCAATGTAATGTAATAAAGATTACCCAATTAAATGGTCACCTTTTCAGCAACAGGTTTTTATCTGCAATATAAACTGCACTGGAAATCCAAACCCTCTAATATGAAAGTGCACACTACACCCTGCAAGGGCGGTATGCTCAACAGAAGGACGAGCAAGCGACAAATAAAACCACCACTTCCAAAGAGGAAACTGCGCTGTAAAGCAGGATCTTAAAGAAGGACGGGACCACAATGCACACATGCCAACACCTCCTGCTGTTAGCCTGACCACCCACTCACTCACCACAAAACGCAGCGTTACTTGCTCAGCATCCCCGGTGCGTCACACGTGCACTTCCAGTTTATATTCACCACGTGGCACCGCAGTTAGTGGTTTACACGTCTGTCCTGACCACCAGACTTAGCGCCCCATGAGGCAATATCTCACTCATTTTTGTAATGTCAAGATCTAGCACAGCCCCCGCAAATATGAGGCCCAACAATTAGGTTCCCAAACTCAACCGAGAAAAAGTGCTATATAACTCATTGCTGAATATCTCTGCAATCACCTTCAAAGTACTCCCCTTGGGAAGCGATGCACCAACACCAGTGTCTAGTCCACTGTCAAAGCAATTTTGGAACTTTTTCTGGAGTGGCCATCAGTGTCACTGTCGTACTACCCTTGATGTCCTGAATGTCATCAAGTGTCTTCCTTTCAATATTTCCTTTATCTTCGGGGAAAAAAGTCATTGGGGGCCAGACGAGGTGAGTAGGATGGGGTTCCAATACAGTTATTTGTGCAGTGTTGCCAAGGTAAGTGCAAGGAGGTGAGTTCACGAACTTAATTGTTGGACCTCAACAAGCAACAACAACAACTCTGATGGCCATTTCAGAAAAAAAGTTCCAAAACTGCTTTGATGGGTGGACCCAGTGCTCGGTGCGTAGCTTCCCAAGCAGAGTACTTCAAAGGTGACCGTATTGATGTTCAGCAATGAGGCATATAGCGCTTTTTCTAGGATGGTTTGTGAACCTAATTGTCAGACCTTGTAGGAAACTGCAGAAAGTTTGCTGCGCAAGTTACCGTCAGTTAAGGGTACATGCAAGACCCCCAAGCTATTCAGTTTTTAAATCATGGTGAGCTGAAATTAACCCTCACTACCTATCACTACAGTCCTGAAAAGAGAAGAAAGCAAACGCAAGCAGCTCCAAACCACACGATCCATCCACACAGTCACTCTAGGCTATTGCTGGAATCCATGCACTTGATAAAGCACACACAAACAGAACACGGTACAATGACACTGCAGCTTTTGGATTACTTTTTTCTTTTTTTCAAAAAACAGATGCATCTGAACCATAGTCGTTTATCAAATATTCATGAACTTAGCATGCCTGAATTTAGCTAGTCTCTGCGCCTACAGAATGAGTCGGGATGAGGGTGCATTACAGACCAAAAGGGCTAACACCACACCCGGCAACTCCCTGGTACGCACTGGCTCAACCTCAGCGCCAACTCCATATCGCCACTGGGCTACAAGCTGGAGCCACTAGAGACTGGAAGGAGAAGGTGGCCAAGATCTGCCTCAGCCCACTCACTCACAGAACAAGCTGCCCTTTTCATTCTTTATTTGCAATTAATGCTTAAACACCTCTTGTAGGCTAGGACAAGATTCCACGGCTAACCAGCAGAGGGTAGAAAAACACTCGTGTTATTCCAAAACCGAGTGACGACCAAGCCAAGATGTTCAGCACACCAGCCAACGAGTGAGAGTGTACTTTTTAGCTGCAGCACCTCTTTACTGCCCTATTCACTAATCTAGGCAATCTTATCACCTAGTAATTGAGCAAAAGGCAAGCAATACAAAAGTGAGGCAACTGGAAAGACTCGAAGTTTGTAGTGGCATAAGGGAAGTTTAAGGGGACGTCATTTTTAGGCTTCCACAGGCAGAAACCAAAGGGGAGGCTTTCAGCAACAGTTCCGCCATGAGCCAGCCATGGAACCTGAGGCATGGAACCTTGGCGCCACCAGAAACTGGAAGGAGAAGGTGGCCAAGATCTGCCTCAGCCCACTGAATCCCAGGTCTGTTTTCCAAACTGTAAAAATGACAGGAATACACAATCTCTAAGATACGCTCCACCTTAAGTTATTCCAAAATTAGTATAAAACTTAAAAATAAAAATTGCACATAAAATACAAAGTACAAGGAACTTTTTTCCTAGTCACCAGTACATTTTTTTTTGAGTTGGAGTCTCACTCCATCGCCCAGGCTGGAGTGCCATGGCACGCTCACAGCCACCCCAGTATCGACCTTCTGGGCTCCGGCGATCCTTCCAAGTAGCCGGAACTACAGGTGTGCACTACCACACCCAGTTACTTTTTGATTTGTTGTAGAGATGAGGTCTTGCCAAGTTGCCTGGGCTGGTCTCGAACCCACAGGCTCTGGCAATCCACTTGCCTCAGCCTCCCAAAGTGCAGGGATGACAGGCTGAGCCACCAAGCCCAGCCTATTTGATTCTTCTCACTATCATTTTAGTACTGGTCTACCCAGATGTCAACTAATGCTCCAATTAATGGCTTCCACCTCTGTAAAACAAAAATCATACTCAAATTACTTTAAGAGAAAGTCTCCACTGACCTGGTGCAACAACATTCACCCTAATCTTCTTTCTTCCCACTTCTTTAGCCAGTGCACGTGAAAACCCAACCACTCCTGCCTTGCTGGCGCTGTACACAGACTGACCAGAGTTGCCTTTCAAACCAACAATGCTTCCTAGAAAAAAAAAAACCAAATGAATCCAATTAACAGAGTTATTTCAAAGTTCAGATAATTTACAGTAAACAGACACACAGCGAAACCCATTTCACCTCATCCTTTGACAAAAATTAGGAATTCTGATCACCATCACTGGTCATTTACGTAAGAGTCAGAGTCCGAGTCTGCCCCAGATACATACAAACAGGAGTTGAAAGAAGCAGCCAATACCAGGCAGGGAGCCTGCAAACTGATCCAGGAAGTGAAAGGGATCCACTGTAATCTCTGAGTAGGTCAGATATGATGAAAATGCTGTGGTGTTTACCACAGTATCCAGCAGGAAGAGATCAAAGCCAGAAGTCAAAGAAAGGTTGATCAATTTTATGATTCTACACACAGACAAAAGGCAACAAGTATTCACTTCAACCAAAGAAAGTTCATCTGCAGATCCATCTGACTGAAATTAAACTACTGGCAGACCCCGTCTCATTGTGCTTTACTTTGTTGTGCTTTAAAGGAACGTTGTTTACAAATTGGTTCAAGGTAATCCTGCATCAAGCAAGTCTATTGGACTGTTTTCCCAACAGCACACATTCTTTGTTTCTCCATGTCACATCTGGACAATTTTCACACTATTCCAACTTTGCCACTATTGTTAAATCTGCTGTGATAATCTATAATCGGTGATCTTTGATGTTAATACTGTACCTGTTTTGGGGCACCACAAACAAAATATGACTGCTCATTGACGACACACCCAAGAGCTCTGGTGGAGACGAATGGTGCTGTCATGCCACTAACGCAACATCCTTTCTGCAGTCCTTGGGTCAAGGAGTCATTTCAACTCTTCAATTGAGCTTTTTTTTTTTGAGTTGGAGACTCACTCTGTCGCCCAGGCTGGAGTTCAGTGGCACACTGACAGCCACTACAGCCACAACCTGCTGGGCTCAGGCAATCCTTCCACCTCAGACTTCCAAGTAGCTGGAACTACAGATGCACACCACCATGCATGGCTAGTTTTTGTGACTTATTGTAGAGACGAGGTCTCACCGAGTTGCCCAGGCTGGTCTCGAACCCCAGGGCTCAGGCAATCCTCTCGCCTTGACCTCCCAAAGTGCTGGGATTGCAGGCTGAACCACCACGCCCAGCCTTCAGTCTTATTATTTAAGAAACACATTTTGAAAGGCGATAGCTGCCAAAAACAGTGATTCCTGTGATGGGCCTAGGTGAAGTAAACTGAAGTCCTTCTGGAAAAGATTCACTATTCTAGATGGCATTGAGAGCACTTGTAATTCATGAGAAGGTCAAAATATCAACGTTGACAGAATTTGGAAGAAGTTGTTTCCAGCCCTCATCAGTGACTTTGAGAGGTTCAAGACTTCAGGGCAGACGTGGTGGGAACAGCAAGAGAACAAGAACTGGAAGTGGAGCCTGAAGGTGTGACTGGGTTGCTGCACTCTCATGAGGAAGCTCGAATGGATGAGGAGTGGCATCTTACGGGCGAGCAAAGAATGCGGTTTCTTCAGATGGGATCGACTCCAGGCTAAGATGCTGTGAACGGCGTGGAAACGACAAGAGATTGAGAACATTCCATAAACTTTGTTAACAAAGCAGCAGCAGGGCTTGAGAGGACGGATGCCAGTTTTGAAAGGAGTGCTATTGTGGGCAAAGTGCCATCAAACAGCATCACACGACACAAATAAATCTTCCGTGAAAAAAGAGACAACTGATGCGGCAAACTCCACTGTCTTCTTTTAGGAAGATGCCACAGCCACTACAGCCTTCAGCATCTACAACCCTGATCAGTCAGCAGCATCAGCATCAACACAAGACCCTCTACCAGCAAGATTACGGCTCACTGAAGATTCAGATGATCATTAGCATTTTTAACTAAGGTATGTACTTTTTGGCATAATGCTATTATACACTTAGTAGACGACAGTATAATTTTTAGAAGCACTGGGAAATCAAAACGTGTGTGCAACTCACATTATTTTGATACTCACTTTATTATGGTGGACTGAAACCAAATCTGCAATATCTCAGAGATACGCCTGTACTGTTCACCTAAATTGGCAAAGCTTCAAAGATAAGCATTTTATAAAAGTACAACTACAGTATGTTCGGTAATGTACTGTGACTTTGCCTACTACAGATTCTTGAGTGACCTCATTTAGCAACTATGCAAGAGTAGTTTGTAATTCAAGTATCAACTAAATGCAAATAAGTTCTTGTAAAACAGAAATAGGGAAGTAATTTTCTGCACCACTGACCTGTACTTATGATAAAAAAAATTAATCAAGGAATTCACAGCAATTTTTTAAAGTATTTTATTTTAGAAAAATAAAACATTCCCAACACTTTTTCTATTGTAATCAACAAGTCCAATGTTAAAATATTCATCTACATTACATACTGTATGCCAATTAATCACAAAGAGAACCGTGAAGAACAGGGAGAAAAGACAGGTGAGAAGATGCAGGTGGACAGAGAAAGAGGTATTCAGCACAAAGAAAATTACAGAGGCAAAAAACAAAAAAGAAAGAAAGAAACATATGTTCACAGAAGAAACAACAAGCAGGAAGCTTCAGCAGCTTTGCTTTCTGCCACACATTACAGTTCTTCTAGTCAAAAATTGCTACCTTCCGAAACATCAATGACATTTCTAGCAGTTTAAAGTGATCCTTGGCTGGGCTCGCTGGCTCCGCCTATAATCCTAGCACTCTGGGAGGCCAAGGCAAGTAGACTGCCTGAGCCCACGGGTTCAAGACCAGCCTGGGCAACTTGGCAAGACCTCATCTCTACAATAGATACAAAAAAAAATTAGCCGGGTACGGTAGTATGTGCCTGTAGTTCCAGCTACTTGGAACGCTGAGGTGGAAGGATCACCGGAGCCCAGCAGGTTGATGCTGGGGTGGCCGTGAGTGTGCCCCTGCACTACAGGCCAGGCAACAGAGTGAGACTCCAACTCAAAAATAAAAATAAAAAAATAAAGTGGTCCTTTCTGTAATAAGATTATCTTAATTTATTTTCAAGTACCTATTTTTATTACTTTTAGCTCAATTCTGAAAGTTGTGCATGCACATGAAAGACTGACTTGGTTTTTTAAGATATAACTAAAAAGAGAATATTTTCTACAAATATATGCCATGTTATTAAAAGGCAAAGATTGAGTCACTTACTAATGCCTTTAACAAGAAAATTAATCCCTTATATTTCCAAGGGTAAATGTCAAAAACGTTCTGATGTCCCCTAATTTATTAGCATCATAATCTTTCCTTTTCTCATCTTGTATCTCAAGTTCCACAGGCATAAATCCCATGGCCTATCTGCTCTGTGGGTCACATGAACTTGAAGACTAGGGGTTACTTACATCAGTGGCAAGACATGGAGAAATTTAAACTTCCTCTAAACTTCGACATGAGATTTACCAGTGACCCATGGAACGGCTGCAGACATTATTATTTAGCCCCACGGTTACTTTGTTTCAATTCCTTATCCATATTTCAAAAGTTAGGTTTCACATAAAAACCAAGGTGCCGACTTCTCTTAAAAAAATCAAAACTGTTGGCGAAACTGGGACCACACTCACACCCTGCGATACTCCGCCACACGTGAGCATTAGTGAATTAAGTCGTTTCATAGTACCACGGGATAACCGTAAGTTGAAAGGTGAAGACTCACCTACGTTAACAATGGACCCCCCCTGTTGCTGAATCATAGTCCTCACGGCAGCTCTACACGTCAGCATGGAACCCAAGAGGTTAGTGTGAAGCTGAGACAGCATGTCTTCAGTTTTTGTTCTCACTAAAAGACTATCCCTGCAATAAGAAACAGGACGTCAATTAATAACAAGCTGAACCCGAAAAAGTCAGCAACATTTTTACTGAGAGTGTCAGAAGAGCAAAAATATTACAATAGCCGGGCTCGGTGGCTCAGCCTGTCATCCCGCACCTTTGGGAGGCTGAGATGAGCGGATGGCCTGAGCCCGCGGGTTCGAGGCCCGCCTGGGCAGCGAGACCTCATCTCTACAAGAAATCAAAAAACCAGCCGGGCGTGGTAGTGCATGCCTGTAATTCCGGCTACTCGGAAGGCTGAGGCGGAAGGATCGCCGGAGCCCAGCGGGTCGAGGCTGCGGTGGCCGGGAGCGGCCACTGCACTCCAGTCTGGGCGACAGAGTGAGACTCCAACTCAAAAAAAAAAAAAAAGTATTACAATAAGAATCAATAAGCCAGAAAACATCCACTTGGAAGGCAAGTTCCTACTCCCTCTCAGCTGGAGCGGCAAATATTCTAAACCACTAAAAGTGGTACCAAGGGTATGAATGACCTAAGCAACTGCCATCCTATGCCTTGTTTAGCAGGAAAGTTAATGTTACCCTAAATATTCTCTGCTAAATTCATTTTACCCACCCTATAATTCCATTAGTATTAAGTTCATGAACTGGCAACTTACATAGGGTGACAACTCAGAATAAAGGCTACCTATACAGTGGTACTAATTGGGAAGAAACTGAGGGAGGCTTCTGGAGGCTGAAAATGTCCTACAGCTCAACCTGGGTGAGGATTACAAGGCTAAAATTACTTCAACTGGACACGTGTTGAATGTCGTATCTCAATATAAAAGAACGTATGGATTGACAAAGTTCTAAAATACATAGTTTTTCTTCTAATTATTAGTAAAAACAAGTCAATATGCTAACTTATACTAAGAAAGGTATGTTAGGAACAAAGCCCAAAAAAGACACAATAAATTTACTTAAATCTGTGACCAACCTGTTAATGCCAGCTGCGTTTACCAAGAAATTCACTTGGCCTAAACGTTTCTCCATCTCTTCAAATGTACTTTGAACCTCGTGCTCTTTAGCGACGTCACAGCTAAATGCCAAGTGATCTCCTGCATGGCAAAGTCATGTCAGAATTACTTCTCAATCGTAACCTGAACTGCAAACTTACGCAGTACACACGTGTTAAGCATCAACTACATGGGAGGCTGGTGCTAACCTAGAGCCTAGAGATTAAAAACAGTCCACCACAGCGCCTGCTCCCCTGGAGGTCTCCTGAGAATGGGACACCAGCAGGTGGGGAACAAGAATAAAGAAAGCAATACTACAGAGAGTTAACTTTAAAACTCAGTCTTTAACCAACAAAAGCGGGGTGGGAGGAGCCTTTTTCAAGTGTGTAACGCTTTGTAAAAATCGCCCAATATGTAGAGCTTTGACACTGAACCCATGCTACCCACTTAAGTCTTCTCAATTTCATATTCCTTTTTTCAAAATTTAGGTCTAATTCTGTCAGGTTTTTGTTGAACTGGTTTCTTTGGCCCTGATATGAACTCCAGGGCTGCTGCTGTTTTGTTTTTTTTTTTTTAGCACTACAAATGCACAAGGGCACATGCATTATAATGACTATTATTCCAGCCTGACCCTCAGGAGAGACTTGGGAAGCTGTAAAAAATGCTAAAATCACCAAACCACACTCACAAAAACTCTATTTTAGTAAACAACTGTTACCACTTTTTAAGTCTAGAATAAATGCCAAAAAAAAAACTACACTTCAAAGGAAAATAGAGCATTCCCTATTTAGTAATCTTACCATCTTAATACTCAGATTTTCTTTTAAGCTAGAATAATTGTTTGTCCTGTCTGACCTTGGCAGATATGTTTACAGGAACATGACCTCCTCAATCACTTTCTGGATGAAAACCAATCATTCCAGGAGCACACAAGTCCAGGAAACGCAGAGCCCAAAAGCATTCGGTCTCTTGCTGTGCCTGAGGACATGTGCCCAAAACCACCCTAAAGCTCAACCCATGGTTTGAGTCCAACCCCCAACACCTTCGGCCTAGGGTCACCGTCCTCCGTCTGTCAGAATGACCGCGGGTAGCACTTCCTGTCTCCCCGGGCTGTCCCTTACAGGGTTTCCTTTCAGGGAACCCAGCGCTCTCTAGACCATTGCAATCAACAGGCTGAACTGGTGAGACTGAAGCAATCAGCAGTGTGATTTTAAAAGTGACTGCGGCCGGGCATGATGGCTCAAGCCTGTAATCCCAGCACTTTGGGAGGCTAAAGCAGGAGGACTGCCTGAGCACAGGGTTTTGAGACCAGCCTGGGCAACTTGGCGAGACCTCGTCTCTACAATAAATCAAAAAATGAGCCGGGCATGGTGGCACGTGCCTGTAGTTCCAGCTACTTGGAAGGCTGAGGTGGAAGGCTCGCCAGAACCCAGCAGGTCGATGCTGGGATGGCCATGAGCGTGCCACTGCACTCCAGCGTAGGTGACAGAGTGAGACTCCAACTAAAAAAAAAAAAAAAAAAATACAAGACACAAAACAGTATTTTTACATTATGTCATTTCATTTGTAGAAAGTACACAAAGAGCCAGGTGTGGTGCCTCACGCCTGTAATACGGGCACTTTGGAAGGCCGAGGTGAGGGGACTGCCTGAGCCCCCGAGTTTCAGACCAGCCTGGGCCACGTGGAGACCTCATCTCCTCGGCCACTCGGGAGGCCGAGGCGGGAGTGTGTCTGTGTGTCTGGATCTACCTATTTATTTAAAGTTGGAGTCTCTAGCTGGGCTCGGTGGCTCAGCCTGTCATCCCGCACCTTTGGGAGGCTGAGGTGAGTGGGTGGCCTGAGCCCACGGGTTCGAGACCCGCCTGGACAGCGAGACCTCATCTCTACAATAAATCCAAAAAAAATCAGCCGGGCGCGGAAGGCTGAGGCGGAAGGATGGCCGGAGCCCAGCAGGGCGAGGCTGCGGGGCCGGGAGCGGCCACCGCGCTCCAGCCTGGGCGACAGAGTGAGACGCCAACTCAAAAAATAAATAAATAAGTAGATAAAAGAAATAAAGTTGGAGTCTCACTCAGTCGCCCAGGCTGGAGGGCACTGGCACGCTCACGGCCCCCGCAGCCTCGACCCGCTGGGCTCGGCGATCCTTCTCCGCCTCCCAAGCCGCCACAACCACAGGCGCACGCCACCACGCCCGGCCAACTTTATTCACTGACGGGAGAGACGAGGTCTCGCCAAGTTGCCCGGGGGTCTCCAAGCCGCGGGCTCGGGCAACCCCCCGCCTCGGCCTCCCAAAGTGCTGGGATGCCAGGCTGAGCCGAGCCCGGCCAGAAGAGTCGCTGTGGCCCGCGAGTTCGAATCCCGCCCGGGTGGCACAGGCAAGCCCGTCTAGGGACAAAGACGCGGCCCGACCTCCGTCCGCCCCGGGGCTGCACCGGCGGCGGCGGCTCCGCTTCTCCGCGAGGGAGGGTCCGTGCGCAGAG